TTGTGCAAAATTTACAAACCAATAAGCCAAAAGTTTCTAAAAGAAATTATGCAGGATGTGCTATGACTGCACTGCTGTTCGGTCTATTCTCATAGATGCCGTACGGCAGTGAGCAAAATAGCCGAATGCCGCTGAGCGGCATTCTGCTTGGCTGTTCTGCTCGGTCCCTCTGTGGGACCGAGCAGAATAGCAAAATAGTTAAAAAAGTAGAAAAAAAACAATAGAAAACGATTGTGTGGAGCTAGCAGTGACAGCTAGCTCCGCCCAACTGTTTTCTATGGGCTGGGCGGTTCTGCTGCCGTAAAAAAAAAAATTCACCATAGGAATGCATAGCTAGATTCCTATTGGCTATTTCAATTTGCAATAGCCAATAGCAAACTAGCTATTGCACCCGCCCTCTGCTGCTGTCAATCACTAGAGGGGACCTGATGGAGAACTGCAGGTCCCCTCTGCTGATTGACAGCAGCAGTGGGCGGGTGCAATAGCTAGTTTGCTATTGGCTATTGCAAATTGAAATAGCCAATAGGAGTCTAGCTATGCATTCCTATGGTGAATATTTTTTTTTTTATTCTAACGCCAGCCAACGGCTCCATGTCAGAATTAAAAAAAGCAGGGAAAAGTTTACTCTGCTCGATCGAGCAGAGTAAAACTTTCCTTTAGAAAGTGTTTCTCTCCCGGGCAGGTGGGAGCCACTATCTAATAGCGGGAGACTCCCAGAGCGCCCGGGAGAGTTGGGCTGTCTGGAGATCAGTGTCCCTGGTTACCTGGTAACCAGGAACGCTGATCTCTCTGCAAGTGGCCGGAGCCAGCCGTAAGATCATGGCTGGCTCCGCCCAGCTGTCAGAAGCAGGCCAATGGCCAGCCGCTTGGCCAGCTTAGGCTTTCACCTCGGCTCAGCCGAGCCGAGGCTTATGCCTTCAGCTTGATTGAGCCGCTCTGCCCACTTCGGGAGCTGTACGGGCTATAGTGAATACACCTTACAGCAGCTCTTCAGTTCTACTATACCGAAGGGGTCCTGGGGCCGAAGCTAGCCGAAGGATCAGCCGAAGCTACGGCTAGATCCTTCGCGAGCTTCGTGAATAGACCCCATAGTTTTGGTGATGCTCATTTCAAATGGCATTCTTGTAAGAAGCAGGTGTCCAGCATTATTGATACATCTCACCAACCAAACAAGAAAGTTCTTATTGAAGCACATAAATCCCAATTCCAGACAAAATGATCTTTTTTTTTAATGGAAATTTTTTTTTTTGGCTTGCACAATGAGTTTGCGGCTAGGGGTCATTGAAAAAGATGGCTACATTTGGGATAACCAAACAAATGTGCTGATGGACAGGGTAGACCATGTATTAAAGACATATATTATTTTGTATGGCTCAGGAACTTCTGGCAGGTGTAAGAACAGCATTGGTGTTTGCTAATATGTAAGCTATGTTCAAAAACTGATCTACAAGCTTTTTATGCAATATTTCATGCTACAAACAAAAAGTCCAAAAAAACATAGCATTACTCTACCTAGTATGTGTTTATGGATATTATATTCTAATGACTTTTTATGACTTATGTTAGACCATCTCAGAGTGAAAATATGTTGGAAATAATACATATATTTTACTGATGCACTCCTTTCTTGGCCCTAATAGAAGATATCTGTATCAGCCCAGGGGCCCAGGAAGCCATAAACGACATGTGTAAAAACTCGGTAGCAAGCCTTGTGCAAAAACCTTAAATTCCATAATGGCTGAGAATGTGCCCTAAAGCAAGCTAAATACAAATGACATAATACATTAAGCCCTACACTTGTTATTTTTGTTCGTTTTGGGGTTGCCTACACTCTGAACCCAAACTGGGGCCTTATGCCTGTCAAAAATTAAAAATAATTAGTAGACCCCTGACCCTAAAATTGTAAGCCTAACTCTGTGGCTAAAGGTCACCAACAATACATAACTAACTGCCCCCCAAAATGTAAAAAACAACAAAACAATTTAAAAAACAAGCAAAAAATTTGAAAAACAAGCAAAACATTTGAAAAACAAAAGGGTAAAGCCACAAACCCGGGATATTACGTTTCTTTTACATGTGCATGCAAAATATCATTTTCTGAAGTTTATTGAAAACTGCAGGCTAACTATTGGCTGATGTTCTTTAAAGTTATGTTCAAGAAGATACTGGTTTTCTTTTATGCAGCGGAGACCATGTTCCAGATGAGGCTTTCGAATTTGTGATTCTTGGCTGTTGGATTTATTATCTGTGAACAAAAATGTAGGCATCAACACCAGGTATTGTTGCCAACTCTGTTCCCAGGATTCAAATTGGGTCTTCTTCTTAGTTCATGTTCTTACCGGGGAACATGAGCTTCAGTTAGGAAGCTTCATTTGAGAAGCATGGAGCCTGATGTAAAACATTTTGGTCCATACTTGCATGTAGATTAGAGTATAATTTTGCCATATCCTGCAAAAGAAAAGAAAACATTTACCAAAAAATAGATTTTTGAGTGGGAGAGTCTGTCTATTGTACTCACATGACCATTTGCAGTTTTGGTATAAGAGCAAAACTGTTAGGAAGAGCAGTGAGCTAAATACGTGACCGTGAGATTTATTTTATTATGTATGCCATGTGTTTTCATGGTAAACAAACATAATTTAATTTTCTGGGCAATTCATCAAATAACAGCTGGCTGCAAACTAAAATAAAAAGGTATTTTTAAACATTAGATGACAATATGGCTCGTGTAGCAATTATATGTGATATATTTTAATGAAAGTTGCATCGTCCTTACAGTACTTGGGTATCTTAACGATTATCTAAATGTAGGCATAACATGGTTATTTTCTAAAAAAACAGCATTTATAAAACAAATATCTGATAGTGTGAAAGGTACACAAAGTACAGTTTGTCTGCAATTCATATGAGTAGGAGCGTTTGCTAAGGATTTGCAAGTTTGATAACAAAAGCTGAGGTTTGCATTTATACCAAGCATAACAACCAGCATATGACTAGTGCCAGATTTACTCTCCCTGCTGCCCCAAGGCTAGGTTCCGCAATGCGCCCCCTCCCCGCCAACCCCAGGACTAAATGTAGAAAGCAACTTACCGCCTGGCGCCCGGAAACTACATGTTGGGGGATTCCACGCCGCTGCCGCCCCTCTGTGCCCTGCCACCCTGAGGCCGGGCCTCGTGGCCTTATGGGGAATCCGGCCCTGAATTAGCAGTTTCTGCTTTTAGACTTCAATATTTTGTAAAAAATACTGTTATTACTGAACACCTGGTTGGTCTTGTAACTACTCAGTAATACAAAATACATTTCTTCTGAATAACCTATCTTGTACTACACTGATTTCAATGTGCTACAGGGGAATTTATACTACAGATCAATTTAAAATATCCTGCATTGCTTAAAATTAGTTTGCAATTATTTTAAAATGGTAAGAAGAAGCACTCCTGGCAAAGAAAAGGTTTATACTCACCTTACCAATGAACTTTGCTGTCTTGAAGAGATAGTTTCGCTGAAGACATCAGGCACACTTTTGTGTGTGTCAGATGCCTTGTACTCCACTGTAGTCTGTGCTTTTTTTTTGCTGACCTTACTACTGTGACCTTTGGGGTAATTTGGAGTAATGCTATGTTTTTTTTTGCACTGCATGCAAAGCCGTGAGGCGTGGACATTCGCATGCAGTGTTTGAGAGCTTGTGTAGCTGAGTGCGGCCAGATGAAAGACTTCATCTTCGGCCAATCAGCTCTTGCGTAACAACTCAAAAGACTTTGCATCCTGATGCGCAGTTTATGCGTGCAAGCTGTCTGGCGCCCTCAGCAATGAGAGCTCTTGCAAGCTGACGTGCTGTGATGAATTGCAAGGCACACTGCATGCGAAGGTCTGCGTGTCATCGCCACTTCCCTTTGCTCCGCGCTGCTTTGCCTGCAGTGTGTTACAGGCTTCACTCTCTCTGCTCTCCTCTTCCAGTGCACCTGCTCTATGTTTACATGAAGTACTAGAATCCTGGCAGGCTTTGAAGTCAATGTTGTAAGAGGGGAGAAAAGGGAGTTGATCTGCAGTGCAGTTCTTACAGTGCTTCTGCTGTAACAATTAAAGATGATGTGCTCCACAGTGCATGCAGCTACAGAGGTCAGGAAGGATTTGTTTACTGCTTGGTATTAATATTTAAATATTACACCTTGGTCACAGGATAGCTTTAAGATTACAAAAAATAAAAATGTAACCCATTTTAAAGGATTTTAATCAGGATAGATTGAATATTTTATACCTATCAAAACCATCTTATTCCCATTTAGTGATGTAAACAACACTCTCTCAGACCTAAAGGGCCTGGTATGTTTTTTGGCATAGGTCCGACCGAAAGTAGCTAGTGGGTGCCAGCGCTGACAGAAGCAGCTATGCGGTCTGCATCTGACAGAGATGCAGACCGTGTAGCTGTGGGGTGGATGGTATCGGTTCACGGGCCGGAATTAGCCCATGGGCCGATACTCGGCTGCTGACCGGGCCCCCCTCTCTGCCCCAAGCCCCATAGCAGCTGCATAGGCCCCTATGGCGGTAGTTCCACCACTGCTCATAAGGACCATTGGGAACAAAAGCAGCCACCCTCCGAAAGGAAGGACAGTGTCAGCACCAATTAGGAGATGATTTGAGAATCTACAGCCGAGTGATACATAAATAAGGTCCAGTATTGTTAATAGTTGAGGTACTTAAATGCATGTTTAAGTTGCATTTAGGAAAGTGAGATTTTAAAAAGTCACTTCAAATTGGTAACATATATTTGGTGACCCATAAATTTGCCCAATTCAATTTGAATCTTAATTGGGATACTAATTTGTGAACCACAGATACCAGAAGATCAGCATATGCTGGAAAGACAGTGGATTCAGGGCTGGCGCAGACTAGGGCGATCCCGGGACACGCATCCCGGGATGCGCAATCGTGTGTGGTTGCACCCAGTGGTTACCATGCATCCCCATTGATTTTTCAACTGCAATTGTATGCGATTGCAGTGGCAGAATCACATGGGGAAACCGCATGATCTGTCTGTCGAGACTGTCGAGACTGAGGTGCCATTAGAAAATAATGACACCACCAGCGCGATCAACGGTAGTGTGCGAATCCGTGACCGTGCGGCCATCCACGTGGTTTCCTGCACGATTGCTGCGCAGTCACGGATCACCCAGGTGTCAACCTGGCCTAAGAGTATTGACTGCAAACTGTTTAAATAAATAACTTGGCTGGTTATTATTATTATTATTATTTTATGCTACAGCTATTCTTTAAGGTTATTTTTAAGTTAGAGGCTAATATTAAATTAATATTGCAAGCAGCATGTTAGTATATTTACATATACAGGAATTTTTTACAAAATAACACATGTTTATTAAGGTATAGTAAAACAAAATGTTGCTGTTAAAGCCAATAAATCTAAAGCCCACAGGAATATTTTTTTATCAGTAGCCATGGTGATCAAGATCTTACTATATGCATTATGGGCTTATTTGTAGCACATATGCGGGTGCCTAACTGAATATAATAGCTGATACATTACCATTACAGGTTTGAAGGGTGAATGTGTTGCACTCCATCTGGTTATAAGTGCAGTAAGTCTAAGACAGTGCTTATAATGTAAAATGTATTGGCAAGCTAGAGATATTTTTGCCATAATATGCAAAATCATGAAGATGTACAGTACTTAAAGACGTACTAAGACATGTTAAAGTGTATTTATTATGTATTTTTATTTTTTACACAGATGAATGTGATGGTCAGCTTGTGTCTTCTCTCTCTCAGTCATCCTTCAGCAGTTCTTCTGAACTTTCCAGTACACATAGTGCAGGCTTCGCAAGGCTCAACAGGAGAGATGGTAAGTTTTCACTGTGATTATGTTGTTTATCTATCTATTCCTCCTGAATCAAAACAGTAAAAAACCTTACAAATGAAATATATTCCCGTTCCGATACACCTGGGAACTTTCCAAAATCATGCACCTCAGTTTGAGGTGTGCCGAGGGGCAGATCAAGGGGAGAGGAAATAATGCTATATATAGTGTATTTCACTAAAATGTAAGCAAAGGTTTAACAGTGGTTTACATGGTGCACCACAACCAAATATGGGGCTAACAGTGCTGTCGTTTGATAGAGAGAGAATTCAGTTATAGTATTATGGTCCTCTAAACAAATAGTATTGACTTGACGATACAAAGGCAAAAAAGGGGCATTCCTGAAATACCTGGACTACAAACGAGCAATTGTTCGAATACATAGACAAAAAAACAGATAATCATGACAATACGCAATCCCAGTCATTGTCTTAAGCTTTGTGATGTGTGCACATTTGCGGTGCTTCATATAAATATTAATATGATTCAACAAGCTGTTCCTTCATAATTTACAGTCTTACAGTATTTCCTAGAACAGAATTTCATGAATACACTAACTTTCAATTACGATTGGCTTACACGGAGGTGTGAAGTTTTCTTTTCTGAGGCACTATTGGGCAGGTTGCGCACAGGGCAGGATTTACACCTTTTCCTACTCTTCAGCTGTCTGTGCCCCTTTTTGACCCCATATCAAGAAGAGGCCCATGTCCTTATCAACATGGGCACAAGATACTTTACCAGGGGGGTCGCCCATCTAGGATAAGGGTTTGCTGTAGATGAAGGGAATCCCCAATTACTTTGTTTACAAACAGAACAAAGCAGCTGGGAACTGTGAACTGCTTGCAGTTTAAATGGGATTTATTTTCTTTGTAAATGTTAGTTATGTTGTACGTTGTAATAGGTCGTATACATTGTGCAGATGTGCCACTTGTGCATGTTATGTGAAGGAATTTTAACGTTGCCTTTTAAGCATTATTGAAATTACTGCTCCCAGCCAAATGGAATTTTGAAAATCTTTTTTTGCTTTAGTACATGTCCCCCAGGGCAGTGCCAATCCTACCACACCTTTCTGTGGTATTCATCTGACTCTTACATATTGCTGCTTTCTAGCAGTTTTCACCTCAGCTGACCTCTCAGTCCTTTAACTGTCTTATTGGCTGTTATGAAATCATTCACATTTGGATTTGCATTGATCCACTGTGCAATTCTCTTTGAATTCTACACTGGATAAATAATTTGATTTGATAGCTTCAATAAGACACATCTCTCCACTAACTTGTTTTACAACTGTTGTTTGTATTATTTATAATGTCCTTTTCTTTTTCATTGGGCTCTATGAGTGAGACATCCAACTTGAAATGTCAGTATCCAATTTCTCTACTATGCTATTAATAACCTCCATATTGTAAGAAGAGCCCAGGATGTAGTTGAGGGGAAATTTAAAAGATGTTTTATATCAGAAAACTATATGTAAATAATGTCAAGAGAATTCCCTGTAGCCATTAGCTCTGCAAGGCCAGTGTCTGAGCTGGTGGCCTTATCTTGGAAGGAACCAATTTTTTATTTTTGCTTAGGGACAAGGTGATGTTTTTAAAAAGGTAGTACCTAGTTTGTGCTGCTGCCCCATGCCCTTGTTTGATTCACCAAGGCAAGTCTTACAAAAAAAAAAGCAAAAAAGCAAAATGGTATTATAAATTGGATATTCAAATACTGTTTACTTAGAGCCTCTGCCTGTCACTTTTGGTGTGACTGACTTTTTTTCTTATAAAGGGGGCCTTCCTCTTAACTGAAAGATTTCCCCCCTCCATTAGCTGCTGCTTGCCCTTCCCCTTGCAGCGTGGAGGGGCAGACAGCCTATGGTCATGGGTTTTTCTCCTGCAGTTATGCCTCCAGGGCAGGGGATCCCACTACCAGAAAATGCAACAGAGATTGTCACAGGTCACATCCTCAAAGTGGGGCATGTTGGGCTCCCACTGGGATGGTAACAGTTGATCCCCTGGATTTTTACCTTGTATCAGGGGGGGTTAAATTACCCTTAAAGCTGCCCCAAAATTCCTTCTCACTGTCAACATTTCAGTTCTTCTTCTTCTCCTCACCCCTATCACCAGGACTCTTTTCCTTCCTTCTTCTTACTGCCAGCACCACCCTAGCCCTTCTCCACCTTGTATTCATCCTCTGTCTCCTGCTGCTTCATGGCATTCTACATGCTGGTGAAGGGCAGGATGGCCTTCTATGGAAAGTAATGACAGCTGACTTATGGACATCTATGCAAAATAATAGTGGCTGAATACCTGAAGATGCTGGGCATGGGGCGATTGCAGATGTCTGTGGACTGACCCTGGGGATAGCAATGAAAACATTTCTGAGTCCCCATATTTAGTTGACAGGGCTATGGTGGAATTAGCTGAAGAGGAAGAGAAGAAGGAAAAGAGCACATGAGAAGCATAAGAAAGGAAAGTGGCTGCTCTGCACCCTTGAGAAGAAATAAAAGAGAGCATGAGAAGAACTGTAAAACATGTGGCTGCTTCATGCCCTTGAGGGGAAGGAAAAGGAATTAATGAAACAATAATACCCAACCAGAGTGAGGTATTGTGGTGTTGTAGGAGATGTTGGAGGAGAAGGAAATGGCATATTAACAAAACTTAAAAAAAGTGGCTGCTATATGCCCTTGAGGTGGAAAAATAGGGTACATGAGCATCACTTTAAATTTAAGTAGCTGCTGTGTTCCATTGGGGAGGACGAGGAGGAAAGGGGTACGTGATTAGCACTAGAAAGGAAAGTGGCTGGCCTGTGTCCTTGAGAAGGAGGAGGAAAAGTGTGCATTAGCCTAAGACCTTCTGGGCAAAACAACAGGGGGCTGGGTACCTGACACTGTGGTATACTTTAGTGTAATTTTGAACAAAGCAAATCAGAGAATAAAATGTATACTTTTTTTTTTTTTAAATAATAAATGTTTATTAAGAGTTTAGTACAGGTAACATAAAAGACAGGCAGACATAGGGATCAGCGCAGTTTCAGGTCATGCAGTCACAGCTCTGCATGAGACACAAGCATATAACAATGCATATATATGTGTTCGGTTCAAGTATCCATCACATACAGTGGTAAATATGTAGATCAAGTCATACAGATGGGGGTAAATTTCTAGTTTCTATAGCTGCTGAGCGCATCTCACCCAGGAGATATAAAGGTAGCTGCGATCTCCCATCTGGCTAAACACCACTAAAGGGGGACAAAAAGGAGGAGAAACACATAGTAACACGGGACTCAAGGGACAACACAATATGGGCGGGGTGCCCCTGGCAGGCGGGGTGCCAGGCTAAGTAGGATACGGGAGGGTACTTAATGGGGAGGAGAAAGGGGATGGGGGGCTTCCACCGGACCCAATAGTACATCTGTCACCCTGGACGGCCCACTTAGGTATATCAGAGGCAGTGCACTAGTGCAGTGTCAGTCAGGAGGTCCTTAGTACGATCACAGGGTCCTAAATGCTGCTGAGTCCATGTACAAAATCCAAGGGGTCCACAAAGTAGCGCATTGGGGTTGAAGCTCATGTAGAGAGGCCGTCAGTTCTTCAAAGCGCATGATCAGACACACTTCCGCAATTCACTCCTGCACGGTCGGGGCGACCACAGTGTTCCAATGTGACGGCACTACGTTTCGGGCCGCTGCCAGGAAGAAGCAGAGTAGGTCCCTCTTGATCGAGGCAAGGGAGCCAGGTAAAAGAGATAGGAGAGCTATTTTAGGGGAGGCTACTAGATCCGTCCCCATTACCTGGTTATAGATGTCAAAGACCCGGTTCCAAAATGGCAACACTAGGGGGCAGCCCCACCATACATGTAGTAGGGTCCCCTCCGCTGCCAGACAACGCCAGCAGAGGGCGGACCTATCAGGAAATATTTTATGTAGGAGGGTTGGGCTTCGGTACCACCGAGTTAGGATTTTATAGCCCTTTTCTTGAGCCGAGCAGGCCACGGAGAGTTTATGAGTAATTACGCAGGAGGTTCGGATCTCTTCATCAGTACCTTTAATAGCCTCATGCAGGCCAGCAACGTCCGCCCTGTGCACATGTTCAAATCGTGCAAACAGGGCCTCCATATCCCTCTTAGAGAGGAGGTGATCCAGCAGGCGTCTGAGCTCTCCCTCAGAGCCCTCCAATGTAGATTCCTCATCAGAGGAGACCTCTGGGTCCGCCAGGACGGGAGACCTGTCGGCTGGCTGGGAGGATGGTGAGTCAGGGGCAGCAGGGGATTCCCCACGTGTACCCGACATGCGGCCCGCAGAGCCGGCAGAGCGCGTGTGTGCTGGGGCTGCAAAGAAGCTGCCGATGCCGGCTCTCGGGGTCCGTGTGCGATCCGGTCTGGTTCCCTGGGCTTTCTTACCCCTCTTGGAGCCCATGACAGGCGGTGATGCGGCGCTTCAGTAGCGTTGCCCGGTCCTGTATTGCGGAGCTAAGGACGAACACGTCCGGCTGCCGCCATAGATAAGCTCCGCCCCCGTATACTTTTTTTTTACAGTAAAATAATGTTTTTAAAAAACTAACACTTTTTCAAAGCAGAACATAAATGCATTTTTATCATTTTCCTTTTTAATTTCTACAAAATAATATTTGCAAAGCAATATTGCTGGGAAGATCCTAGTTATTCCTAAAAATAATGAACATATTACTTTATCTTTAGCAATTACAAATACAAATGAGTAATAAGGTTGAAAATATAAAAATTGCTTTGGTCCATAAAGGGTAAACAGGTACAAGAACTGAAGTGGTTAAAAAAAATGAAAAAAAAATTATTTTCTCCCCCTTATAATAAATTATAACACAGTTATTATAGTTATAACGCATTATATTTGTAGACATCTAGGTTCAGTCACACTATCATAAATCATACTATATAACATAATGCCATGTTCCTTTTCATTCCCCTAGATGTGCATGCTAACTTGATGGTACACATTTTATCAGTATTGAGATTTTGATCCATTAT